ATATATATATATAATAAAGTGGTGGGGCTGCTCCCCCTCCGAGTCTCCACGAGGCACGGTCGCGGTGGCGGCCCGTGGAATTGCTGCCGCAAAAGGATGTTGGGGTTACCCCGGGGGGCGTGGGAAAAACCTGCTGTGGGAAAGAGTGGGTGGCCTCTACCTCACTCCACTTCTCGCTCGCTTCCATAATGCGCTTGTATACTACTACTACTACTAGTACTACTACTCCCTACTCCCTACCCGGTACCCACTACATTTACAATTTACAACTACTACCGTAACTCTTTTGCTCTATGTGCATGTACACATATATATACGTATTTTACGCGAAGAGAAAGAACGACGGCAGAGATGAGGATGACGATGGTGTTAGCTCGCTATATATACGTATATATATATATAAATTGGGCCCAAAAGAGAGAGACAGAGAGAGAGAGAGAGTTGTCTGTCTGCGAGGCCCTTTCGTGTAAATACATACACCTATCTATCTGCGTGTGCGAGAGCGTGTCGATAAATGCGACCGTATAAAAGGTTACTTATCGCGCCTGAGAACGGGGCTAGTCCCCTGCGTACCACACCGTTGCATAGTGTATAAATATATATACGGGGACCCCATAGCTTTTACGCTCATACATATACGTTTATACCTATATACATGTACACACACCTATATGTACATATATACCCGGCTATGGGGTCTGTCTGTCTTCCTATAGTATTAGTATGGGTATAATCTGTCACTGTGTGCGTGCGTGAGAGCGTGAAACTCTCCTCTCCTCGGAAGTTAGTCGTGTTGCCCCTGTCTATACGAGTGTATAATATATACCTATAGCGGGGTATAATACCTAGGGTGTATATATATATATACCCCTTGTAGGGAGTGTGAGAGCGAAGATGCGCCCGTGTGAATTTTTCTCTTTCTCTCTCTCTCTCTCTCTCTCTCCACCTCCTTCTCCTTGATGCTACTACTATTACTGCTTGCTTACCTACTCTATTTCTTTTTCATCCTCTTTCGCTTTTCTCTTGGATATTTGTTTTTTTTGTTTTTTTCCTCCCTTTCGCGTTTTCTCTGTCTCCTCTCTCGAGGCGCTACCGATGAGACTTTGTGTCTATATCCATCCATGGGGTATCTTTTAACACGACTCCCCAGGTTACACGGGCGGTACAGAGTAAGAGAAAAACGAAAAGAGATAGAACTGGCGTGTACACTGTGCCCCCCCAAATGTCCCGCGTGCTTTTCGAGGTTTTAAGAGCTAAGCGCCTCGCCCTCGCGTATACCGATCTCTTGCCCCCACGACCCTTTTTTGCCACTCCACGTCCGGTGATGGAAAAAGCATGAACTTTTATACCTATATGTACTACACGCGTGTTCGATAAAACTTTTGCAAGCTAAGCCGATTCGCTCGGTGTAAGCTCACTCTTGTTTGGGGGAGGAGGGTAGATCGGCACTTTTATTTTACCGATGCACTACTTTAAGAGGGATCGTTTATTCGACAGTACAAGTGTAAATATATAGAAAAAAAAAAAAAAAAGGAATACTCGCAATTGCAAGAAATCAGGGATATGATTATCTATGTATGGGGTATCATGTTATTTGGAAAAAAACAACGTGCGAGTACGTGTATAAACTATACGTGCAGTATATAGCTTGACGTGTCGTCCCGCTCGTATATTTATACAAACTCGCGCCCCGTAATTATATTATATGAGGAAGAGAGAGAGAGAGAGAAGGAGGACGAACGCGTGTTTATGTGATGTATATAATCTGCCTCTCTCTCCCTCTCTCTCTCTCTCTCTCTCTTGATGCTCTGGGAGGAAAAAAATTCCCACGGGTTTTCGTTCTAGTTCACTTAATTTTCTCGAGACTCTCCGAATACCTACCTCATGTACATACACATACCACATGTATATTATAAATATATATACTCACATCAAAGAAGGAAAATCACTGTATTAAAGTGAAAGCTTTGTTCGGCAAAACTCGCATACATACATATAAGTATCAGTGTTTACGCTGACGCGCTCCCTCGTATTAAAAAAAACATGAAAAAACAATTTTCGAATTTCAAGCGGATACTCGCTCTGTGTTGGTACTTTTATATTATTATTACTTTATTATTCAATCATATAAATATTTCTCCAAGGCGTGAAACACACATATATGTGTATATATGTATCTATTAATGTATATATATGATAGAATATGTTAATAGGCGCGCTCTCGATTACCTGCCTGTTTTTAAAATTCACGAGGTTGCGATCTAAATTGCACTATAATTTTGAAGCTCATTACGCGCTCGGTTTTGATTTCTTCGAGGCAAGTTGAATTGGCTATATACATATACGTCGATCATCAAAGTACAGCAGCGTGTGCTCGAAACAAACTCTACATTAATAATTCGATCCTGACAAATGAAATTAAAACGCAAATCCAATAAAATGAACGTTCATTTCGTATTTTATATCTACTACACATGTATTTATATATATGCGCATATGATATATACTTATAAAAATGCATAAAGCGATTTCTACGATTTAGGTAGTATGTAAATACAATTTTTGTAATTACGCCTCGTTAATCCATCTCACTCGGCATGTACTGTCTTCTCTCTCTCTCTCTGTGTGTGTGCGTTTATGCAATGGACTAAACATCAGGCAATTTAAAAAATAACGCGACCTACATCACATTGATTGCCCGGAGAGCACAATATATGCAAGTGATGGTTACAATATATATAGGTACACACGTGTGTATAATACTTATATATGCGTAATCTAACGCGCAGTTTAAATTCAATTCAACGCTGCTCCACACGTATCAGCTCGTGTAACGTTTAATTGAATTTTGTACGTTGCGACCGAACTATATATGAGCATCTGTGTACGCTCGCTTTTGCTCGCTTTTTGTTTTTGGTACGTATATACAGGGGACCATCGATAGGTACGCGTATAAGTGCAACCTCGTGTCGCGTATACTCAAAGGTACTTATACACACTCTAATGCTCTTTCGTCCAACGCTTAGGTAGCCGCGAAAAAAAAAAAAAAAAAAAAAGGGTAGCGCGGAAAGGGAAAAGGGGATACCCATTACTTTGTCATCATCGGCTTATACGATATAGTTTCGCCCTCGCATCGGCACGCACTTG